GCCTATCAGTGGGTCGGTTTCGGTTTCCACCTCAGATAACCCGACTAGGTCGGATCGGTTGGGAAAACCCCAATAAACCGACCCAACCCGACCCGTGAACACCCCTATCAAACGTGCCCTAAGCCTATCCCACCAAAAGTTCAAGCCTTCTGCTGGGAATCTTTCCTTGGATGGTAAATACTTATGATGTGTTGCAAAAAAGAAGGCCATTTTCATGCCTCTCTCCTCATATTTGCTTGTGTAGGAAAAGTGGAGAAACCCTATCCCACTTATTAATCTCCTCTTCCTTTGTTCTTCATATTTGGGGAGTTTTTCTTTTTGTTCTCTTTTGGCTGCAGGTGGGTCCCTTTCTAATAGGTGGCGAACATTTTCATCCCAAATTTCCCAAGGCAACCAAATAAAAGGGAGAGATTGATGAGAAGAGTTACTAAAACAACAACTATTTGGGTGGTTTGGGAGGAGAGGAATAACAGAATCTTTAATGGAAAAAGTAAACTGTGGAGGTAATAGAGAACATAAAAGTGAAGGTAGCAATATGGATTAAAACTTTGGATTGCTTTCAGAGTTTCACAGTTAATGACATTCTAAGGGCTTGGAAGGAGGTAGCACAGTCTTGTAGAGATAAAGATAGAGTAAGAATGGAATGGAAACCCCCACAAGGCAGTAAAGGGAAGTTGAACTTTGATGGAAGCTCCTTGTGGTTAAACTGGGTATTGCAGGAATAGGTGCGGGCAATTAGAAACTTGGCGGGCAGGTTATTGGCTCTTTATTCAGGGAAAATTGGTGTGGCTAATTCTATAAAGGCTGAATTGGTGGCTTCTACTACATGGTCTCACGTTAGTTAAGCCATTGGGATTTAGACAGTTGGAGGTGGAAGGGGACTCAAAAGTAATTATTTCATGGGCAAGATGTTATAGAAATATTCCTTGGACTATCAAGAATGCTTATAGGGAAGTTGAAAGGACTGCAAGAGAATTGGATGCTGAATTCAAGTGGGTTAGAAGTGCAAATGGGTTAGCTGGCCCCCTTACTAAACAAGGGGTAACAATGCAGCAACTGTTTTGGGCATCCTTGTAACATAGTTGTAATATTGGGGAGGACGTTATGGTCATCAAATTGTACTGTTTTTACATATAATTAATCAATGTAATTGAATTTCTATGGATCAAAAGAATAATCATTTCATGGATTAAAAAGGAGGTGCACATCTCCTGTGTAATTTGACCTACAATGACTGGTTTTTAAGCTTAAGAATGGTAGTATTTTGGATTCATTTGGTTCCATGTGGCCGTTAGACAGGCTAATATAAGGTGCTAACCCATAAGTTGTCCACATAAGCAAGCAAGAACGATAACATAAGTAACCTTTCTTTACTATAGCAACAACCCGGAACCAAAATGATAAGCATTGCATTTTTTTGTCTATATTTGGTTATTTATTATTTAATATTGATTGATTGATCTTTGTGTAGATTTATTTAKTTTTGTCCCATTGCTTTGATTTTCATTATTTGATACAGCTTCTCTGTTTGAAGCTAATTATGCACTTTCATTGTACATAGGAATGGGCTCTCTTCCCAGACAAAACAAATATCCTTTCTTGAAATTTCCCCAGATGATACACAAGTCTCCAGAGAAGAGAAAGCATTTCGCCTTTGGATAAATAGTCTTGGAAACTCTGTATACATTGACAACGTCTTTGAAGATGTTAGAAATGGGTGAGCTAGTAATATCTCAATTGTTATATCTTTCACTATTATTCAGAAAGACCTCCTTGAATTATTACATTTATTTGTTAGTAATGGTGACCTGTTTTATGCAGATGGGTACTTTTGGAGGCCCTTGACAAAGTATCACCTGGTATAGTTAACTGGAAAATCGCAACCAAGCCTCCAATTAAGATGCCATTCAGAAAAGTTGAAAACTGTAACCAAGTTGTGAAGATTGGGAAACAACTGAAGTTTTCCCTGGTTAACATTGCTGGAAATGATATTGTACAAGGAAATAAGAAACTTATACTTGGTATGCCTCCTACCACATCTATCTTCATAAATAAACCTTAGGTGGAGTAACATCTCATTTATCCGTGCAAATCTTGCCTGAGGTTTCTCTTTTTTTTTCTGCATTCAATAATTTGATATGTTTAATTCTTTTAAAAGAACTGTTTTTTTAACTGACCTGAATGAATGTTTTGACGTCTTGTTTAATGACTTAGTGTGTCTTTGGAAGAGATTCTTGTTTTGATATGTTTAATTGTTTTAAAAACTCTTGTTTAATGAAATAATATTAGTGTTTTCCTACAGCTTATTTGTGGCAATTGATGCGGTTCAATATCCTCCAACTTCTGAAGAACTTGAGGTTTCATTCCCATGGGAAAGAGATTACTGATGCTGATATTCTAGAATGGGCTAACAACAAAGTTAAGGATGCAGGAAGACAGAGCCGTATGGATACTTTTAAGGTACTGTGTCTAATACTCTTTCACTTTGAGTATGATGAGGTCTAATAGATGATTGGTTACACAATTTAAGGTAATGCCACTTTAAGATGCACTATTAGGGTCAGTTGCTCCAATCAAGGGGAGGCATCTCTACAGTATATGTGCATCATGCATGATTGATCATCTCTAAGTGATATTTGATCCTATGGATGGATTCATATATTTGATGAAGAATTGATGGGCATTGATGAAGACAAGTTCCCATCACCATAGATCTTTATGATTTGACAAGTGATTAGGTTTGAGTTTGAGGTTTCTGTATATTTCTTATATCTCTTGGTAATGAATAGTACCTACTCCATTTATGCCATGTAGATGGGTGATGTGGTCAATCCATAAGGTTTCGTTTGGTTTGTGGGATGGGGATGAGAAAAAGGGAATATTCCAAAAATATTCCCTTTTCTCATATTTGTTTTGAGGGAAAGAGGGGGATGGGATGAGAAAAAAGTGGGATGTGAGATCCCAAAATCGCGGATTCGGAGTCGCACCAAAACAGTGCGACCTCGATGAGAAAACTCGAGTTTCCATCTCCCTCATCCCTCCCTCCTCCTGTAACATAGAAGGAATCCGTTGGTATGCTGCCGCCGCTCCTATAAAACAACCATGCTGAAGTCAATGCTGATCCACTGGTACGCCGCCGCCGCTCTCGTCATTTCTGGTTTGGTTGTGACAGTAATGGAGACAAAAAACGAAGAAGCAAAAGAAGCAAAAGAAGAAGAAGAAAAAGTAGTGGAGACGAAAGACAGAGAGAGATTAGAGACGGGATGTGCAAATCTGTTGCAGCAGCGATGACGAAATGGAGCGAGAGAGAAAATGGAGGGAGAGGAGAAGAGAGAGGAGGATGAGGGTTCAGATCCGCCACTTCTCTTCCTAGTCACCGCTCTTTCGGTTGAGAGGAGGACGAGGGTGAATAGTGTTCCTTTGTAAACTTCTCCCCCTTTTTACATTTTCCCATCCCATCCCATCCCATCCCAGTAAAACCAAACAATCGAAACTTAATTTTTTACACTTTCCCATCCCATCCCATCTTTTCCTATCCCACCTGTTAGTGGTGTTAGTGAAGGGGTATTTCAGTCTTTGTACTTGTTGAGAATGCTGATGTGTACTGTTATGTTAGTTCGAGTGCCTCTTACTTAAAGAAGGGCACTCAAGCCTTTTCCAATAAGTCAATAATATAA